GTGTTCTGGAAATATTACTCTTCTTCCAGAATGCGTCGTCTTAAATTTATTTTCCGATGCATTCGGAGTATCATCGCTAGTGTTGGTTGTCGGCTGAGGAATTATGAGTGTAGGAGTCGTGTTCTGCGATTGTACCGAAGGAAAGTCGACGTGAATAGGATTTCCTTCTAAATACGCTGCTTTGAGGCGATCAATGCTGATGCTATCGTTTGTTCCGTTCTTATCGACTATATCGTACTCAGATTCACGTTGAAGAACTTTGAAAGGTCCTTCGTATGCTGATTCGAAGGGTCGTTGATGCGAGTCTCGACGAATGAAAACGTGTGTACTATATCGTAAGTCAGGTTGAACGACAACATCGGTTGATTGTGGTCGAGTGGAAGCAGGTTTGACGGAACGCATTGCGTTTGTAAGCCTGCTCGTGTAGGAGGTTAGATCCATGTTCGTTGAAGAGGATGAAGGATCCACGAATTCTCCTGGAAGTCAAAGTGTCGTTCCATAAACGAGTTGAGCCGCAGTGTATCCAATGTCAGCTTTCACTGCATTGCGAATACCTAGTAAGACGAGTGGAAGAGCGTCGGCCCACTGTGAAACGTTTGCAGCTGATAGTGAAGCTTTCAGTTGTCGGTGAAAACGTTCTACCAACCCGTTTGCTTGTGGGTGGTAGGCGGTCGTTCGGAAGCGAGCGATTCCTAAAAGTGTGATCAGGCGACAGAAAAGACCAGATTCGAATTGCCGTCCGCGGTCTGTAGTGATGGTTGAAGGGCAGCCGAAGTTTGCTACCCATCGTTCGACGAAGGTGAGGGCCACTGTTTCAGCAGTGATGTCCTTGATAGGTACTGCTTCTGGCTATCGAGTGAAACGGTCTACGCAGGTTAAGAGGCAAGAGTATCCATTTAAATCTGGTTAAGGTCCTACCAAATCCAAATGAACATGATCGAAACGAGCATCGGGAGTCTTAAATGAGCCTAAGGGACATTTATTGTGTCTAACAACCTTAGATTTTTGGCAGCTTACACAGGAGCGTGCCCGCTCCCTCACGTCTTTATTCATGCCAGGCCAGCAAAACCGTTCTGCTATAAGCTTGATGGTTGCAGGAATGCCTGGATGAGAAAGTTTGTGCAATGTATTGAAGACATTGCCTCGATAATGTTTCGGTACGATTGTACAATCTTTACCTGTAGATGTGCCACAAAGTAAGGTTTCCTTACCTGTTCCCATCTGTTTGATGTGCAGTTTAAGGGTTGTGGACGATAACTCATGCTGAAGATCAGTGTCTTCTTTTTGAAGCTCGGCGAGTTTAAGAAGGTCGATTCTTTGGAAACTCTTTAAGGAAGTTATGCGAGACAAAAAGCCTGCAACTACATTGTTTGCTCCAGAAATATGTTGAATGTCTGAAGTAAACTGCGAAATGTAGTCCAGTTGTCGAGACTCACGGGGAGAGTACTTGTCTGAAGGAGAGCTTAGAGAGAAGGTGAGTGGTTTATGGTCAGTGAAAAGAGTGAATTCACGACCTTCGATGTAGTGTTGGAAATGCCGTACAGCACAATACATAGCTAGGAGTTCACTACCGAATGTGCTGTACCTCGGTTCGGTGTCTAGCAACCGTCTAGAGAAAAATGACAATGGTTGCCGGGAGTTGTTCACCCATTGTTGTAAGACGCCTCCGATTGCTGAGTCGGATGCGTCTACTGCGATACTGGTGGGTGCTTCGGTGTCCTGATGTGCAAGCATTGTTGCTTTAGCGATCAGTTCCTTAATTGTGGAGAATGCTTTTCGTGCGGTGTCGTCCAGATTAATGGATTTCGCATTTCCACGAAGTTGGTCGGTTAGTGGTTTCATGAGTAAAGCGCATTTAGGTATGAATCGCCTATAGAAACTTACCAGGCCGTTAAACGTTCGTAGTTGCTTGATCGTGGTCGGTTCTGCGTAATCCAGAATTTCCGCCACTTTGGTCCTAAGGGGACGAATACCTTGAGCATCTATAGTGTGTCCCAGGAAGTATAGTGAGTCAGCTCCGATTTGGTATTTCTGAACGTTTACAATAATGCCATGTTTTTGTAGTCGGTCGAAAACAAGATCCAGATGCTTGAGATGTGTTTCTCTGTCCGGACTTGCGATTAGGCAGTCGTCAACATACGCATGTACGAAGTTGGGACCTCAAAAAACGTCGTCTATGAATCTTTGGAATGTTTGAGCAGTTTTCGGTATGTCGTCAGTAGCCATAGGGATTTGGTTATACGCTTTAACCAAGTCGATTTTCGAAAAGACAGTTGTACCTTTCAAGGTAGCTGTCAAATCGTGAATGTGAGGTAACGGGTAACGATCGGGAACGGTTTTCGCATTCAATCACCGATAGTCACCAGTTGGACACCAATCGTTGCTGTCCTCTTTAGGGACCATGTGCAACGTAGATGCACATGTGCTGTTTGACGGTCGTATGATTCCTAAGTCTATCATGTGATCAAACTCGTTTTTCGCCAACCTTAGCTTTTCAGGGGCTAGTCGTCGTGCTTTAGAGAATACAGATGGTCCTGTAGTCGTGATGTGATGTGTAACGTTGCTGGTTACACACGGTAGTTTCAGTTGCGTTTGCTGAATCCCAAGATACCTATCGAGAAGCGGTTGATAAAATGGGTCTATCGTATGTTTAATTGTGACTGGGGATAATCTGCAACCAGCAAAAGGAGTTACGCAAACGGATAAATTAGTGTTTCCGTCTACTAACCTTCGTTTGCGAGTATCGATGATTAGGTTATGGTGTTGTAGAAGGTCCATACCAATAATTGGCATAGAAACATCAGCAACAACGAAGATCCAGTGAATGGGTTTGCGTAAACCCACGTTCAGGTAAACGTACCTTTTGCCATACGTAGCGATAGGTTTTCCGTTTGCCGCCTGTAAGTATTAGACCGATTCGTGAAGCTGGTCGTTGGGATTCGCTGGGAGAACGCTAACTTCTGTACCAGTGTCGACGAGGCAGCGAACTCTCGTTGTCACATCTGTGACGTACAACAGACGGCTTGGAACTTTCCCGAGTTATTTTTCGAGTCAGTCGGTTCTAAGTTGGGAAAATTGCAGGGTTTTCTGAAATTTCTGGAAGACTTTTCATACTGGTTATGATACCAGCACCAGTCGGGGTTATCCGCCTCTTGTGGTCTAGAGACAGATCGCTTACGTGAAATGCTTCTACGTGGGGTGTGCGATCGCTTACGGTCGTTACGAAAATTAAGATAACGCGTAAGTGTATGACATAACTCGGTTATGTCATTCTGAGTCGTTTGAGGCTTTTCTTCGACTGAAAATACCTTGGTAGTAGAAGATTTCGTAATTTCTAAGATACGATCGGCAGATGCAGCCAGTTCGTCTAAGGCGTTGTTCTGAAACGAGACCAGAACTGCTTGCACCTGTTGGGGAAGTTTAGACAAGAAAAGTCGTTTGAATAAACCTTCGTCGAAAGTTCTTAGGCCTATAACCTCTCTCATCCTTTGCAACATGTCCGCCGCAGAACCGTGCTGCAGGTCTATGTTGTTAAAGAATTGATCTAACCTTTGTCGATCGGTTAGATCTCCTCGTTTACGAATCGAACGTTTTAATGTTTCGTAAGGTCCAGAAACATCACTAGTAAACATACTAGGTGTTAAGTACCTGTTGAATTCGCGCGGTAGTGCCTTGATTACTAAGAGGAATTGTGCACGTGTGTCGTTCACACCTTACTCGTGGACGTCGGCTCCTGCGTAGCAGAACCAGGCTTCGATATTGTCGGGCCAGAAGGGCATGAGGTGGAACGAGGGTGGGGACATGGTCTTAATCTTAAATACGTTAGGAGTCTGTTCAGCCATAGGGGAATATTAAGTACGAGAATACAAGGGAAAAATATATAGAAATCCTGAAACATAATGTATAAATAATAAAAAATAAGGCAATAATATATAAAAAATTCCCAAAAAGGAACAGACTCACAGTTGCAATTCAGTGTACTAGATCACGTCGGTCTCACCAATGATGATGACACAGGTATTCAGTATTTGACAACGCTTTTACCAGCAGCACCTTCTAATATAATTTGTACCCACCGAGAGAAATCAAAAGACAGAGTCGAGGAGATCGGAAGAGTGTATTTGGCGATAACCAATATATCGGAATTCTCTGATCTAATCTGGCTAGCGATTGCGGTAGATGTTGAGCACAGCGTTACCACACTTGATCTGGTGCAGATGCATGACCGAGCGCCTTCAGCTAGATGAGTCCACTAAAACATATGGTCAGCATCCAATGTCGAAAACTTACAGAGCTATTTATTTTGGGGATTTATTTACCGCTACAATTGTTTTGAAGTAGATGAATATTTCTCAATGGTGATATGAAAATAACCAAGCAACCTCCAGACGTAGCCAAAAAGCCATGCACAAATGATTGACTACTTAGTATAGTGTACAGTGTCCATGTTGAAAAACGTAAGTATACGAGGACTGCTGGCGTAGAATCTGGGAGTTAGCTATTCACTAATGTAACATCTGAAATCTAAAACTCTTTGATAGTTGAGATATGAATCTTTGCAAGACTTACGACCACAGACCAGAAGTACTAAGACCGAGTAAATTGCACAACCAGACAAGAATTTACCGAGTGAAATTTCATGCCTAACAAATATTGTTCATTACAAAAATTATAAGAGCACGTTTGCTGCAGATTTTTGATATTAGGGCTCTCAGAAGTTCGGTAACCATGTGATCATGAATCCAAATACGTATATGTTCGCCTGAATTACACTTGCAGGCTTGCATGTCAAACAAAATGATTAAATTCTATCAGGAATTGGGATAAAGTAATATAATAGAAACAAGCATATGAGCGACATGATGAACTGAAAAATCAAGAATATACAGCAAACAACAAAGCATTATTAAGAATTTACAACTAATAAAGTGACCATCCATCACAAATTTGTGTCACTGCACACTTTTATTTAAATCAACAATTTTTTTTATCCGTTCATATCTTAGTTACAAATGACCTTGACCACACTAATGTTTTAAAATATAAAGCTTCAGATGAAGTTGAAGCGGTTTCTTTTACGATACTACCCTCCAGGTAAACTGAAAATGTCAAGCGAAACATTCCTAATATAAAAGGTATCATACTGGACTATGAACAAGGTGGAGCTACCAAAACAAAGTCTATAGACCTTTTGGAGTTAACACCTGAGTAGGTATACAGCTCACTTTAATTTTTTGCTTAAAGAAGTGATACCGAGGAAATCCTGAAAGAGTTATGCAGCAAGGAGCCCTTAATCACTGAGAAGCGGAAAATTCAAGTTCAGGAGCTAATTGAACGTTTGAAATCGAAGCTTTGTTCCAGTAGTAAAACTAAATTTGGTCAATATAAAGTATAAAAACATCTATTCTAACTAGTACTGTAGATATTACGTGCACATATTTTGCCCCTGACTAATGTAGCCTTCAACAAAAGTGGAAGCCAGTAAGTTGTTAGACCTGTCATAAGTATGATGACATATTATGCCTTCGATCAGCATAAAATATATAATTTCCTGACCAAATTTCCATATATTTGTTCCAGTGGCTATGGATCAAATGTTTTAGTTGCTGGAGGTTAGATCCATTTTGACTGTTATTTTTGACGTTAGAGTATAGAAGTTTAGCTCAAAGTCTTCGAACTATCGCTACAAATGACTGATTTATTACTATCAGATACCATAAAATGTCATTAGATTAGAATTTGAATATTCACTTTCCATATTTTCAACTTGACACTTCTACCTCGGTTTCCATTTCATTCCTGCATTAGAACTAGGACAAGGTGTATAATAACGTATAAGCCACTTATCATTCAGTATCAACAATACAACAGACCATCATATCACTTGCCAAACGCAGTGGTCAATTTACAATTTCACAAAGCAGAATAAATGACAAAAATGCCTAGTTTTCTGACCGTGAAAGCTCCTACAGAAAACGTCTGACCTAAAATCTAATTTATCAGGTTAATTCAAAAGTTTATACATTTCATCTGGAAACATTTATATCAGATATATCATATAGGAGTCAGTTTGTTCACTTATATCTTTATTCGCACCTAGAGTATTGAATTTTAGGACGATAACCCTTGCTTGTCGGTATTTTATACGATAAGAATATTTATGAAAAAGTCTTTGCTTACCTTGATCTGTTTTAAGAAAAACACTCCTATGTGGCACTTTTTTGGTGAAAAGTTACGTTTTACTGACTCATGGTGGGAAAAACTGAGGTATATAAATGTGAAATACGATATGAAAGGTATTTATTCACTCTCCTTTAAACTCCTTTACAAACATAGTTTGGTAAACTTATGACCACTTTTATTCAATTAACTAATTTAGTACAGACAATTTTTATTTGAAAATAATTTTTGTCGTGGAAATGTATCATTTGAAAAATACTAATCACTGGACTTCTATTCAGCGATTATGTACTTAATCCAAGGCCAGAATTTTGAAGAGTACTAAATTAAAACAGAGCAGCGTTTTGCTGCTCCCTGCTTTCCATGAGTTTTTATGGTTGATTTCAGGTGGAAATGGAGATAATTTTATGGTAATTGTTGTTTATTTCTTCTGACACTATTTTCTACATGTTATATAGTTTTATTACTGGATCTTATGATCGTACATGTAAAGTTTGGCAAACTGAAACTGGATGTGAAGTATACACACTGGAGGGACACAGAAATGTGGTATATGCAATCGCATTTAATTTGCCTTTCTCAGGTAACTCGATCTATGTTATATATATCGTCACCCCTAAATGTAACCAAAGTCTTTACACATCATTTCATAAGTACACCTCAGCTTTGGATTACCAAGGGCAGAATTTCATTCGTTAAATATTATCTATTAGATATAGATGTTAATTTATCAATTACAATGTGTGATTACGCATCGAGATTGTTGCTTTTTTAAAAAAGTAACAGTCTAAAAAAGAATTGAAAACTTATCAGTCAATTAACAATCCTTACCCAGCGAGTAATAAAGCAGGAGCCACAACTCAATCTATCAGTCACCCAAAAGCAACATAGAATCTGATGTGTGTGTGTGTAAATCGGTTCAAGTTGCCGTATCTCGTAGCCCCGACAAGATTATGTTGCCAGGGCAAACCCCGGATTGGTTGAGGTAGTAGCGGTATTAATGGTGATAGAAAAAAATCAGAGATTGAAGTTACAGCCCGAGAGGAAAATACATATTAGGGAAATTATGGAAAAAATTGTGAGGAAGTTAAAAACTCAGGATCCAACAGAAGACAATGGGTTAATACATTTGTGTCATTTCCAACTATTTTGGGTCGTCATTCAAAGTTTCTGACAATTGGTCACGATAATCACGTCGACCCCTACTAGGTGATCTGCACCTACTTATATGGCTGAGTCTAATAATCGCTGTCCTCATGGACCTATCTTATGTCTTAGTTTGACCGCACCTCTAGTTGACTTCCAACCTAATTCTCTATCAGATATCATCATTGTTTGAGGTTTCGGGTGGACAAACATGCACAATACATGTCCTAATTACTTCAGTCGATAAAAATGTACTACCTTGTCAACAGATTTGCCATACTTATCTAGTAATCGATGTGTAACCCCTTAATCACTAACCAAATGTTCCCAAAGTATACAAAAAATGCTTCGAAAACACCTACAATTGAATACTAGTAACCGTCGAATACCGACCATTTTTAAAGGCCGTCTTTCACACTCCTAACGAAGAACAGAACAAATAGCTGTACTGTAACTACTTGTATTCGTTAAGTTTGTCACATTAATGTCATCAAGGTTCGAAGATAGTTTTGTTCATTAGTTTGAAGGTAATTTTCATCAAAGATTAATTCTGGCTAAAAACTCATTGAGAGTTTGTGACTGTTAAAGTTATGTGTTTGGCTAAATAACTGAGCGTTTATAGTTCAATTTTGTTATTAATAGCTGGCGGTTATAATCACTTATATAGATTATAATTGGAATCGTACCTTTTATCTTAGTCAGTTTTTAAACTTCACAAAGTTTATTTTTGTTTACACTGGGGTTTAAATCCACTGAATTTTCGAACCTTCTGTAGAAATAAACTGATATTAATTTTTATCTAAGCTTCTGAGCACACGGTCACGTGTCGTGTAGAGTCTGGTGTTCAGAAACCCAATAAAAATTATTATACGAAAATTTATGGAATACATTACAAGCTTTAGTTTGTGAGATGTCTACGTTATCTACCATGTCCTTAAAACTAAATAAGAATGCCTTATAAGTTGTTTATGTCAAGTTAGTTACAACAAAACATAATATTCTGTATGAAAGTTAACAGCTATATTGAAATTACAAAACGAGACAACATCAAAATAAGAACGAAGAACACCAGAAATGTAAACTATCATTGAAGCAGATGTTCAATTACTACACTAAAATTAGAAAAAACTGTTACAAGTATTAGGGAGATGTAATTACAATAACATCAAATGAATGTTACCAGTTTATATAGTTAGTTGGAAACAATATTTACGGACAGATAGCACTCCATTCTTAAAAACTATTAAAATTGAACTAACTACTGAATATTAGTAAGTAGTATAATCTAATGTACAAAAGGGAGTAAGGAAGGATGAGAATATTGATAGAAAATGTAAACAGACGACAACGAGATTTAATTTTTAGTCTGCTTTTTAAACACAATGGTACCCATACTTTCAAAATGTGCAGGTGAAGAGATTCACAAAACAAGTACCTAGTTTTTTATTGGGATTTACAATGCCTTACAATTTATTTTCAAAAGCTACCCAGTGCATTGAAAATCTAGACCTGAATCTATTGAAACCAATTCAAAGCTCTTATTAGAGACTACAAATAGTTAATCAATTAATTAAACTAACCAACAATGATTATTACTTTTACAATACACTAAGAGGTATAGTAGTAAAGAAATCTGTACAAAAGTACAACTTTTTTTTAATTTATCGTACATAAATTCAAACAAAAATATTAAATTGAATAAAACCAAAATATATTTAATATCAGATGGGTTTTGTGGAGATTGTAGTAATTTCAATGGTTAAGATCATGAGTCAGTTGAAGATAGACCACCATGGAAAACCTGGAAGCGCTGGAGTCCTACAATAGGACGAAACGGCCGTCCATTTCTTCCATGTTTTCCATGGTGGTCTAGGTTCAACTGACTCATGGTCTTAACCATTAAAATAATATTTATTATTATATTAAAACAGATTGAAATAATGAATCTATGAAACTCATTATAGTCAATTTGTTTCATATTTGTTTATAATTCATTCAATATTCATTATAATAATCTTTTTATTTTAGATAAAATTGCAACTGGTTCATTTGATAAAACTGCTAGATTATGGAGTGCTGAAACTGGTAAATGTCATTATATTCTACAAGGTCATACAGCAGAAGTAGTTTGTATACAATTTAACCCAACTAGTAATCTTATTGCTACAGGTAAATCATAAAGTTAAATGATTTTTTGTAAAAATGCATATTTGAATATTCAATTTTATCTTATTTTAGTGAAAGTATTTTATGATGAGATTATAATTTATGGACGAAACAATCAAGTATAAGATAATAGGTCTCGGATTTGGGCATGAAATTCACTCATTCATTTTAGCTTAATAGAGTCTTGGCATTATAGCTAATGTCAGTTCGTGATGAAAACCCTAAAGCTAATTCCTAACCTTAATCATCAACCGTAAATCATAATTCGAATTACTCACACTAATTTATAACCCTCACCTGGTCCTAGTTATCAGGTAGATACTCTCAAGGTCAGTCTAGCGTCACTCAAAGGTCTTCCATAAATTATAGTCTCACTGTATTTTATATTTTTTCATCAAATTTATGTGATATTATTTTATCCATTTTATGTAAATCTAATAATCATTCATGGCAAAAAGAATACAAACAGATTTAAGTTATTTAATTCATGAAAAGTAGGATAGTTGCATAGTTTGAATCGATAATTTCAGTCAGGTTTGATAGAGCTTTTCTCTATCAAGTTATGTTACAGAGACAATGTTACCGGAGGCAATCATATTTGTTATATCTTGAAAAAAGCTGATTTTTCGATATACCGCGAATAACTGAGCACTAGAACACCAAAACCCTTCCAAGTCGCAGTAAGAAGATAGAAGACGAACGAAAGGAATACTATTCCAAACAGTGTCAATTATAGTACAAAATTGTCAGGTATTTATAGTTTCTAGTGAGAACGAAATCATCATTACAGTCTTCCAATCCTCATACAGGGGGTTATTAGCATTATCCAATCGGGAAGCTACACGTTGGAATTCTAGAACATTCTTCCAAAAGGTGATTGGATGGGACGTCTTCGGCTCCTTCTGAGCCTCTTACAGCTTCCTCGAGTTCACCGGTGGTCCGTCGTCACAATATTATAACCAATTTTAAAAATAAATGATGGTTTACTACTCATGATTCAAATCTTTGATAACTACCACTTGATTATAATAGCTCTCTTCACATTACGTAAGAATAAGATTACAGATGAAAGTTGAACTACCTCCTTTGTCATACTGCTGAATGGACAATTTTCTAATTTCACCTCAAAGAAACCTACTAGGGTTGAACCTATTAATGACTTCATAGTAACTTAATTAAACTTCCAAAAGAAATTCGTGTTGAGCAAAAAATATATATTTACCATATATTTGAGAAGTTCTTTTAAAGAGGAAATACAAATACTTATTTCTATTTCTCAACTTCATAGTTTACTATATATGAATATAACTATTTCCATCAGAATCATTTTCGTGAATAAAGATGATACATCATGTAATGTCATCAATTTGTTCACCATTTTTAAATTCTTGATTCTGTAGGAAAAACTAAAAACTGTCTTTTACATTGTGCTTTATTACTTCTCTGTGTAGTGACCTTAGGATTACTGCTGGTATTCCAAAGATCACGTGTTAAGATGAATCTACCATTATCTATAATTGGATGAGGCGATAAACCACTTTATTTACTTTTGGCAGAGCGTTTAGTTTGCATTTCACAGCTCCAGTGCATCTGAGAACTGTGTATAAGCCCTCGAAAACTGGACGTGTTTTTTCAAGCTAAATGAGTTGTCATTCAGTCTTTTATATGAGGTCGTTTTTCAAAGATAATTTCTGAACTTCGCAACAGACATTGAATAATGCATTAATCTGTTATGTGCAGACTGTTTTATCCATACGGACTATTTTTAATCCCATGTTAGGTTGAGTAATTACTTGTTTCTCATAGGAAGTTTCATTACGATGCATCCAAATGATACTAGTCAGTGCATTAATAGAAAGTTAGTTTTTTAAGTTATCAACAGAACTCCATCAAACTCCCATTATGCTCCCAGAGTTCATCTCTTACGTTCACAAGAAGCCATATAAATATACTTAAATAAAATCAATTCTGGGATGCAAGTACATGCAGCTGAGGTATCCGAAATAGGATGAAACATGCATCCTAGGTTCTAATGCTAGCCACCACCTAACTCTGCTTAAAAAACTGTGTAAAATAGAAACAAACATCAAGTAAACGGTTGAAGTTGTCCGAAATTTATTGAAGGATAAACATAAATATTATCAAATGTTGACCAAATGCAAATTAAAATATAAGATTGATTCCTAAACTTTTAAATACTACTAAAAAATACAACAATTATTCAACGATAACATACTAGAATAAAATACAAATAATGGGGTTCATTCCTTTCCATTACATTCTTTTCATTTGGCTATAAGAAATAATAACAAATAATTGATTTAATATTGATGTCATGAATGAATCAATATTAGACAACCATTGAAAACCTGGAAGCACCGGACGGCCGTTTTGGCCTAGTACATGACTCCTCAGCAGTACGTATCCCCAATGGTGTTAATGTCCATTCATGATATCAGTCTTAACTCAAAAATCTACACATCCCTATACTGAAAATCATTGGGTTCTTTTTTCAAAACGTTAAAGACTTAATAACCGACTCACTCAGTCAGTCAGCTACAACGTAGGCTCAGGCACATATATGCACCGGTCTAAGATGCCACACCTCATTAGCACAACAAGATGAACAAAAAATTCATGGAAGCAGTTACGTTAATGGTAGTAATATGTAAAAGAAAGATTGCAATAAGGATATAGTACAGGAAGAAAGAATTATTTAGTAGAAAGAAAGATATGAAGTGATTTTAATCTCTTAGTTTAAGGGAAGACAGAGAGTGTATACACCGACGCCGTTGTGATCGATTCTGAGCCATGTCACCAAGAGTCTCTAACCATTGGTTACAATAGTCACGCAGACCCCAACCAACTAGTCGGCATCCAACATGGCTCATACCAGAAGTTAATAACTTTATGGACTGATGCCACGTTTTGGTTAGGCCACCCTTAACTTTCTTATATTCGTCTCCAACACTAGGCAACAATGTGCGTCGTGGTAATCGGTCTTCAGGCATACCTACCTAAGTTCACAAAGGGCGGAAGAAATCCAGGTTCAAAACGAAGATTTATCTACAGAACGGTTCTCTAAGAAATATATGTAAATTAGTTACAAATCTCAACTCGTGAGGTGTCTGTGGCGATTAATGCGTCCGTATATATGGAAAGGAGAGTTCTTCTTTCAACTATTACGTAGACTAGTGATAATATTTGGTAGCTTAAATGACAATCGGTATCTTTGTCTACAATCAATAAGGACTATCAACTATCAAACGGCGACTATGAGCATAAAAATATGGAAGCTGCAGTTTTTAGACAATGATTCAACGAATTCACAAAAACTGAAAGTGACTACTACGAGTGCTGAGAGACTTTGTGTTCAATGACAAATAAAATAGATGTTATTAGTTTATGTAAATACTTAGGAGTACAACATCAAAACATAAATACGTTACACTTCAACTTCTTTTTGCCCATCTCCTTTTCGTGTATACTTATACTACTAACAATTACCAAGTAACTAGTTTTATTTCTCATAACTTTTGGGCATCAAAACATAATGGGAATGAAATCAACGGTTTCCTTGTGTATTCTATTAAGTCTTTACTTATCCTGAATATTCTTTGAAATTTCCATTCTGAACCATTCTTATTAACTTCTAACACTCTTTCTTGACACAACTGTGTTCTATTTTGCGATTTATCTTGTGTTCTGAAGACTTACACTCATTCACATATGGGGCACATTTTACTTAAGATAGCGTTTCTGATTGTGTGAAATCGACGGTTGGACATCTCACTTTCCGAGGTTAAAAACCCATAGTGCTTACTTTGTTTCGGATACCAGGACTGTACTTTTGAACAAATCCTGCCTTTTGGTTTAGGACTTTCACGTGTGAACTAATCGCTGGGTTGGAATAATTGTATGGAATTTCTGAAGACTATTGGAAGAAAAATATCCATCTCGCTTAAAAAAATGAATGAAATCTATCAGTCAAATTTACTACTTTTACATAAAATTGAATGAATGATCTGGAAATTAAGATTCATTAGTGATTTGTAAACTCTCCAAACAACAGCGTAAAAATATAATCCCTTTTAAATTAATTTTAACCATCTACAAAGATAATGCGATGTATGCTGGATGATAAATATTTTTCACATTCAGTTTTTCAGTGAGTAGTGAGTAGATTTTTTATTATAAATGATGCTTAGAAATGATTGATAATGATTTATTTTAGGTAGTATGGATACTCTCGCAAAATTATGGGATGTAGAAACTGGAAGTGAATTAGCCAGTTTAAATGGTCACACAGCTGAAGTTATTGCATTACAATTTTCTCAGTGCAATTCAATTACAACTTATGGAACATCAAGTGAAAATAGTGGTCCTTATGGAGATTCTGTATGCGGAGCAGGTAATGGACGCCTAATGTTAACAGGAAGCTTTGATCATACTGTTTGTTTATGGGATGTAAGAACTGGTGAACGCACACACCATCTGATTGGTCATGCTGCAGAAGTCTCAGCTGCCTCATTCACTTATGATACTTGTTTAGTTGCAACGGCTTCAATGGACAAGACTGTTAGAGTGAGTTTGATTACAAACAATATAATCGAATGTTTTAAGATTGATAGTCTACGGTTAGAATTGTAGCTCCAGGGTACTACGTGTTAACTAAGACGGAAATATTAATGGAATCATCATCAGCGACAATAGAGACAATCCTTACCTATTTAGTATATTTATGTTACCAGATCAAGCGAATCTTGTTCTAACTCTTCTGGAAAGATTTCAGGCACAGGCCACATACAGCGAAATAAATAAAAAGAGACTGATAAACCTAAACAGAGTTCGGATTTTAAATTCATAGTAAAGAACAGGTACTTAACTGTACTTTCACAGTAATTACGACTATCATTTATTTTTCCTAACATTTTATACAAATTAACTAACACGTCTAGGTGTGGGATACTAGAACTGGTCGTCAATTACACTTGCTTACCGGTCATCAGGATGAAGTATTAGATGTAACATTTGATTCCAGTGGTCGACGTCTGGCTAGTGCTAGTGCTGACGGTACTGCAAGAGTATGGAATGTTGGTATAAGTGGAGAGACAAAAAGTGCAAAATTCCTGTCTACACTTATAGGACATGAAGGCGAAGTTAGTAAAGTAAGTTGTCTTTTACAATTAACAATTATTTTATCTTTAAATAATGTATTCGACCTCGGCTTCCTTTTTATCGTAATTTATTTCAGCAATTTATGAGATTTTTTGATTATTTTGTATCTTTGACTTTAAAGGTAGAGTACACATGTAGACTGTAAGTATTCGGCCAAATATACATTTGAAGCGTTGTTCGGGCACTGTTGAACTATCAAGTAAGTAATAATGAGGTTAGGCATACGGTTTTTGGGTAGAAGTAACTAGCTGATTGGTGAGGATATTAGCTTTCATTCAATTAGGTAATTGGGTTATGTGTTATTACAGCCTACTTCAATGTTGAATGCTATCTGAAATGAGAGATTTTGCAAAAAAATAAAAGTAATTTAACGAACAAATTGTATCAGCCTATTAAATCCTTGACTGTAAAAACGGTTTACATCAAGAGGTCTTACTTGGGATCCGGAGGACACTCACAAAATATGGTTTGAGACACTAAATCATGTGGTATGAATCTGGACCCACTGGCTCAGATGTATCCAGTCATAGTCATTCTATGGATCTTGGGCTTACTGTTGTTCCACACTCTTGGCTTACTGATTTCATCTTCTTCTTTCTAATGATACTTTTGTGCTAAGCTTCCCAATGCAGCTTATGTTATTTCCCTTCTATTGCTTCTCCTGTCCGTCGGTTTCACTAGATGTGTTGATATCAATTATAGTAACTTAAGTCGACTCACATTCGTGGGTGATCTCATCTTATTTATGACCAGTCGAATGACCAGTAACATTTCATTATAGAAGCAAAAGTGGGAGATTTTGGAGTTTTAATAACGGAGACCTACGAGTTCAAGCTATTTAACATGTTCTTAAGTTAGTCGACAATTTGTCTTAAATCCTATCGAAGCTTCCGAATATACAACAAATAGACATGTAGCATCTGAAGATTAAAACATAATATTATCTGCAATACGATATTATTATTAAGAACATTCAATTACAATAATAAATAAATTGAATATTATCTGTTTATGTCTAGGCTTAGAAATGTTAAACTAACAGAAGAGATACCACTCTGTCTCTTCAAAAAACACTAGACTTGCTTGGTTACTGAATATTAGTAAGTAGTATAATTAACATACAAAGATAATAAAGATGGAAATCTATACAGACTTGACAATGAGGGTAAAATAGCTTGATCCCAATAGGAAATTAACTAAAACATATGGAGGACACTTCTTATGAATCTAGAATTCTGTCGGGTCTTAAATGAGTAATTTATTTATTTAAATTAAAGCACATTGCATTAAAACAAGGCGTCACATTGCTATATCCACTGATTCACTTGTAATAATTTGTTTCTCGATTGTTGGACTCTCAAGGACACTTTTACTCTAACTCGATATTCGTTCTCATTGTAATTCCTTTTCGATACTTGAAATGCCGGTCACGTTCATAAATAAATATATATATATATATATATATATATATATATATATATATATATATATATATATATATATATATATATATATATATATATAAACCTCTCGGGTGCAATTCTCTCGATGTGCTTGCAACTTTTTTATCTGTGCTGTAGTCGCCACTTATTATTGCCTTCTGAATTCAAACACCGTTTAGATTTATATAATAACGGTTATCGAGGTGATTGATTAACGAAGCTAAGCCACCACAAAAGATTCATGCACAATAACATATCAACGATCGTTGTGGTGATTGGAGAAAGAAAGTAATCAAGAGTTTGGAAAATAGCATTGTTGTGACTTTATGTCCGGCTTTTTTTCACGTGATTTATCCACCAATCAAAATACGACTTATACAATCTTAACACTGTACCAAACCAATGGCGCTGGAACAGTATGAGCAGCCTAGCGTCCTTATTGGTCCTATGTTCGCCTAGCCCGTCCACTTGAGTCCAGAACACCAATACCAGCTTCCACTATGTGAATCATATATTTCAAACATACTGGATTTGTCTATCAACCAAAGAGGCATCAACCCACCATAAAATAGGAAACAATATTTATACAAGATCAAGCCAATAAGTGGCTGTGAACGTGGAAGACAGTAATTAATAAACTGAGTATAATTTAAGAACAGTAAATCATATAATAACAAATTATGGGTCAAAATGAAGCTCATAATAAGAGGAATATAAATATACATAATCTAATTACTGAATAATTATACAATGAGAATATTAGTCCATTAATAGTCCTTGGAAGTTACCCGTAATTTAATCTTCACTAGGATATAACAAGCATGATTTTCAAAGAAGTCGGAATTGTAATTGAATAATTCTATACATTTATTGGCAAATTTGACCTTGAGGCATATAGTAAAAGTAACGAATAGAAAGTAGGAACGACTAATCAGATAACAACAAACGTCTGTGTAAGAATCTGAACTCGAAAAAAGTTGTCACAGTTAGCCTTAAATGTAACATTTATTATTTATCAATAAAATGTGTTAAAGCTGACTCATAGAGGCGAACTTAATGAGCTATTTATGATTCTAGGATTAGGATTTAGACTTTAAAGTTCGGATGAATAGTTTACAATCAAGAACTACGGTCTCGATCAAGGTTACAGAATGAAGTTTGTAATTTCAAATTAAGAGTTCAGGTTAGAGGTTAGGATTGTGATTAAGCTAACGGTTAGTCTTAGATTCTAATCTTAAACTTTCCATTGTGATTGTGAATAATACTCTAATTTTGAACCTTTAACCCTAAATTTTAGTCTCTAATTTTAACCAAGACTCCTGAACCTTAATCCTAACCGTAAACTTAAATTCCAAACCGTAAATTCTAATTCAAAAGACACTATGGTATTCCAGTATTGCTTACGTCATTGAAACGAACCATCTATGTTCGATAAACAACATTTTGTCTGATATATATACTACGAACTTTTCATATTAACCATTATTATTTTCTTTACCAGGTATGTTTTAATTCACCTGGTAGTCTAGTATTAACGGCTAGTTCAGATAAAACAGCACGTTTATGGGATGTAGAAACTGGTGAACTAAAAGATATTTTATCTGGACATACAGATGAAGTATTTAGTTGTGCATTCAATTATGAAAGTGATACAATTATAACTGGATCTAAAGACAATACATGTCGTATATGGAAATAACACTTTTAACAATAATCATTATCATGAACTTTCTTTAACTTCTTTTGTGTTTTTTTTTTTCTTAACTCGAATGGTTTCTTCTAAAGTCCCTTAAAAAAGAAAGTTGTAATTTTTACTTGAATTTCATTTCATTTTAAAGAAAAAAAAAAAGAAAGATTGCATTTCTTGTGTATATTCACTTACCTCGGTGTTGTATAATTTCAAATCTAATATACACTATTTATTGCTCAGTTATTCTCTTTCCTTATATATCTGTATATTCAAGCACATAATACTAATTACTAGGTAATAATTACTAACATACTTAAATGAGAAATAATGAAATACACCACTGAAAGGTTGTATTTTTTAAGAAATTATTTTACCTAGAATAATAATTATGTTTATTATTGAATGATAAGTAGCTTCAATCCAGCACCAGACTTACCGCCTAAAGCTAAAGATCATATCATGTCATTCGATAAGGTACTTTTATTTTTAGCATGTATGAGCTATCAACTTTATGAATATGACAATAGTTTGTATTAATTTTAGTCCAGAAATCATTGACAAGATAAGATAGAAACGTAATTAATAAATAAGTGACACTAAAGTGGTGATTCAAACTGATTTATTCATAAACCAATATATAAATGATCCTTTTTTGTCTATTTCAAGTAATCGTTTACAATAAAGTCTAAAATGAAAATCGAAATAAAATATTGAGCATCTTAAATATTTCCAGATAAATGTATTCAGATCTGTGTTTTCATTAATACGATCATTTATTAGTCTATCATTGATTTTCATTTAAAATAAGAAGGTATTTGGAACCTTCTGAAATTTTTCTTCAGTTTTACTCACTTACTTACACCTGTTACTCCTAATGGAGCATAGGCCGCCGACCAGCATTCCCCAATCCACTCTGTCCTGTGCCTTCTTTTCTAGTTCCATTCAATTCTTGTTCATTTTTCTCATGTCTATCTCCATTTTCCAGCGTAATGTGTTCTTTGGTCTTCCTCTTTTCTTTTGGCCTTGAGGATTCCATGTGAGTGCTTGTCTTGTGGCGCAGTTGGGTGCTTTCCTCAATGTGTGTCCTATCCACTTCCATCGATCCTCCATGATTTCCTCCTCCACTGGGATCTGGTTTGTCCTCTCCCATAGTAGGTTGTTGCTGATAATGTCCAGCCAACGGATCTGAAGTATTTTGCGTAGACAACTGTTAATAAACACCTGTATTTTCTGGATGATGGAGTTCGTAGTCCTCCAGGTTTCTGCCCCATACAGTAGAACTGTCTTGACATTTGTATTGAAAATCCTGACCTTGATGTTGGTTGACAGCTGCTTTGAGTTCCAGATGTTCTTCAGTTATAAATATGCTGCTCTTGCTTTATAGATCCGCGCCTTCACATCTGCATCAGATCCACCCTGTTCATCAATGATGCTGCCCAAATATGTAAAGGTTTTTACATCTTCCAAATCTTCTCCGTCGATTGTGATTGGATTGGTGCATTCTGTGTTGTATCGGAGAATCCTGCTTTTCCCTTTGTGTATATTGAGACCTACTTCTGGTGGGGCTGCTGCTACACTGGTCGTTTTCTCCTGCATTTGTTTTTGCGTTTGGGATAGAAGGGTCAGATCATCTGCGAAGTCTAGATCATCCAACTGCATCCTGGCTGTTCACTGTATCCCGTGTTTCGCTCCAAATTTTGACGTATTCATGATCCAGTCGATCACCAGGAGAAAGAGAAAGGGTGAGAGTAAGCAACCTTGCCTGACACCGGTCTTTAATTCGAACGAGTTTGTCAACTGTCCTCCATGCACAATTTTGTAGTTTTATCCATCATAGGAATTCTGTATGATATTAACTATCTTCTGAGGCACGCCGCAGTGTCGAAGAAGCTTCCATAGTGTTGTTCTGTCCACGCTATTAAATGCTTTCTCGTAGTCTATGAAGTTGATGTAGAGTGATGAATTCCATTCATACATATATCATTCATATATTTCAGACTGATCTACCACAGTTGGGATTAAATATGAAAGAGATATATTATACACATGTAATACACTCTTTCTGCAACAACAACAACAAAAACGAGTTCGTTTATGTCTAAATTTAAACTATTCAACTATTGTAAATTTTGTCCTCATTTATATAACATCGACAAATTCATAGATATTTTAATTAAAACATTCAAGATTGACTGATAAATTAAACTTTTATAAAAATAAGAAAGATTGGTTCAGTGAAGCAATAATTCTCTTCTCAAAGAATTTTCTTTTAAAGTTCTGTAATCCTAAGTACATATATATTTTTCCAAAATGATATGCAATAATAATCTGTTAATGATAATAATAATAATAATAATAATAATAATAATAATAATAATAATAATAATAATAATAATAATAATAATAATAATAATAATAATAATAACAGTGACAACAATTTGCTGAACATAGCAACAGAAAAGAGGAATAAATAAAAGCACAAAAAATGTTATTCTCACCAAGAAAAGGATTGCGTAACTTGATAAGGTGTTAAGGTTGAGGCGAAATGTAGTTAGAAGAAATATGAAGGCAGAAACAAGTCGGCTGGGAGGGGTTAGAGGTTAATTGAGGGAGATATAGAGGAATGTTGATGGATATGGAAAACTTGATGTTGAGACTATGGTAGAAGAAACAGTTGAATAAGTATTTCTGTGTGTTTTGATGAAATAAAAATGATAATAGATATTTGAGAAATGACTGAACTGTAATAAAATTTCAATGAGCAACCTCTGAACTTGCAGGTCCTGAATCAGATAACAGAAAAAACGCAAAAATTAGATGAAACAGTATTGAGTAGCTGGAGATTCATCATAATCATATGTTTAAGTTTGATATTTTTAATACCTATAAAAAGATATGTGACAGGGGAGAACCCAACAAATTCCCTAGTGTTACGCCATCAGTTTGATGATATATTTTACAGCTAAATTGGGACTGAATGACTCCTAAGCATTTAGGAAGTAAACGTTTGAATTGAAGTACTGTCAAAGACAGAAGATCAAAACCCTGGTAGATAATATTTATGGTTTCTTAATGAAGTGCTTTGATAAACAAGAACGCTACGTCACCAGGCGCCATGGTCATTTCAAACCAGTTAGGGTGATTCAGTTTACCAGCTGGAATGAGATTTTTGAAATATATTCAGATAATCACTGATGAACAGGTCCTATCGTATTTACTTGTCAGGAGTCAACTTTATAATGAGGTAAATCAACTACTGATCATATAGCTACTCAGTATTTAGCTCTTCGGTAATGGCTATCAAAGTGTCTCTTTTACTCTTGGTTTCACAATCAACCAGATTATTATTATTATTATTATTATTGTTATTATTATTATTATTATTATTATTATTATTATTATTATTATTATTATTATTATTATTATTATTATTATTATTATTATTATTATTATTATAACAATTACCAATGATAATATGAGATTCAGAATTCGAAATAAAGTTGCTGGAACAAATTCATTTTATTTGAAGCTCTTTATCTCTAACGTCTCTTTGATCAAATTCGATTGTGATTTCTAGACAAGAAAAATTAAATTTCATCTAAACATCTTTCAGTTAGTCCTCAATTGACAATGTAAACCGAATAAATGTAATAGGTTACTTGATCAAGACTGGATTCATGTATTTTCGGTACACGATAAACATCACTAAAAGATTTCAAGCTAATAAAGTAAACAACCTAGCCTTTTACAGTTTTCATGAATAAGTTTCTGCAGACTGGTTGATTGATACCAAAGGGACTATATAGGCTCGCTCTTTTTTGTGCCGGTAATATTAATAAAGAAGAAAATTATTTCTACCCTAAACTATGGTGGTTTATGAGTTGGTTTTAGTGGTTAAATTTTTTGTTTAAAATAATGAGTCATGTAAATTGTTTTGTTGTTAATTTTGTGTTATTTTTTCTGCTTTAAACATGAATCAGCTAAACTTTTAGTAGATAAATGAATGAATGAATGAATCAACACTGCCATCTCTTTGTGTATTGCGCTATATAATATACATATATAGATAAATCCTTTGTATATTGGTCAATTAAAGAAAATATGTCTAACTCGTAGGGTCACAAAATAATGCAAATTTATAGGACATCACACAAGTTGTTATAATCTATCTTAAAAAGTTACTATGATTATGCCCCCTAAAGTCTAGGGCAATATATATATATAATCGAACATGTGAACATGATTAGTTGTATCACATTAGTTGCATGAATCATTATTTTCACGAAAAAAAAGAGAAAAAAACAGGTACTCACTATGACTCAGCAAATAAAAATGACTAATGAAAATTCTAAAGAATAAATAAACAAAAAGAAAACATATTAGTAAAATAAAATGTCATTTCAATAGTTGAGAACATATGAATCAATTGAAGCTAGATCACTATGGGAAACCTGGAAGCATTGAACGGCTATTTCGTTCTATTGTGGAACTCCTCAGTAGTGTGCATCCACGATCCTGCCTCGCAAGATTCGAAACCATGATCTATCGGTCGGGCGCGCGAATGTTTAACTATTGAAATTTCAATACTATCCACAAAATGTAATTAATAATAATATTTGATCATCAAATGAGTTAAATTACGAATCAATTTCATTCATTGTGACTTCTTGGAAATAATGATAGATTTCAATAAACTAAAGAGATAAAGTTTGTGATCTAAGGCAATATTGAAGTAGTCCGCACAGGATGCACATATGCTAACAAGAGACTGATCAATTGGAGTCCTAAATAACAATGAGAAGATACAAGTAAAACAACATCGAGTGAATTTAAACAGATAAATATACTGTGATAGAGAAATCGTTTGTAAATTTCTCATCTGGTTCTACAATTTATAAATCCAAATTAATAATCTATAAAATTGGCCAGATTTAAGGCAGAGTACATCATTTGGAAATTGTAATATGTGAATCAAGGATTGTTCTTTATCATATCAAATCAAATCGTTCATGTTGGGGCTGTTTAATATAAAGTGTTAACTTGAATCAGTTTATAAGTGAAATGAAATTGTGCGATAAAGGATCAGAATAAATATGGTCAACATGGGGTGAGAGAAAAAATAATGTAATTACAAATCAGAAATTACGTAATATGTAGAATACTAGGAATTAGGTCAAATATAGTAGATTTAGGGGTGGATATTGCATAAATTCCTCAAAACATTTATCAAGTGTAATA